CTMTGGACACTTCATGGCTCTGCTCTTCATTTCTTTCTTCCATCTGAAATTATAGATAAATTCAACCTCATTCCCACTGAAATCAGGGTGATCAGGGTGGGAAAGCTGGCCGTGTGGTGTAACCCAGTGATGGCTCCAGCAACCAGAGCACCACAGGAGGGTAAGTGTGGACACGGCCCATGGAATCCCCATGGAGCGACGCACCGATGGCTGCACTGAGGGCACATTGCATTGAAAATGTCTTGCTTTCATTCTGGTTGAGAAGCCACGTGGAGAAGTCAGCAAATTATTTACACAATTGCTTTTTTGGACAAAGGGCAATTTGGTTTGTCCTTTGGACAAAGGACAATTCCTTTTTTGATTTTTGTTTTTTTAGTTGTCTTATGTTTTCAGTGATTGCCAGAATTTAGGGTAAATGCTACGTGGCCGAGCACCAAAAATAAAAAAATAAATACACAAATCTGGTCACCAGATGTCACTGTCTCTTCATTCGAACATAGCCAAAAATATATAAATCCATCAACAGAAAACAAACAAACAAACCACTACACACAAGCAAGTGACAGAAGGAAAACTGGAATATGAAGGAAAGACACGCTCCTCACAAACCAGTGGAGCTGGAAGAACAAGGGTGCAATGGTTTGCCTGATATATTGGACTTAACAAACCTTTAGTAATAGGTTACTGATACCGATACTAGGGTTTATTTTTCAACRAAGGGGCCAGAGAAGCAGGAAACCCAGGCAGTGACGTGGGCCATGGCCTGTGGTACTGCTGGTATTTGTTGTACTTAATGAAAGGAGTATTTTGTGCAATATCGACAGCCTGGTGACCATAATACCCAGCAATGGTGACCACAGCCTGGTGACCATAATACACAGCAATAATACACAGCACGTTTTTACACAGCACAAATATTATGTATCTGTGTGATGTTCCTTTCCCCAATCTTTTAACTGGATTATATTATTTCCTGAATAAAAATTTCTTCTGGTTGTTATAAGAAGTAAGGATTACAGCATSAAGGCCATGATGACTAAACACTGGCAATATTGATTCTGTAAGTTTTCCTCATGGCATCTGTTGCCACACACAAACAGTGGCAAGTTAAGTCTTCTTGCTTAGCACAGGTAACAGTCAAGTACTTTTCTAGGGCACTGTATATTACTGTGATTCATAGGAGCTCAGACTGACTCAGAGTAGAAGACTCTTTAAAAAGCTGGGAAGAAACTTAGACTTCTTCTTAATTTATATTTTCATTCTGGGACATGCAGTAAAAGCTTTCTGGCTTACAATTGTTACACAAATGCATGCAATTATTAGGGCTTTTTCATGACACCTTTACTTCCATTAAAGCCCTGAAAACACTGTCAATATTTGCTAAATGGAAAAGGCTGAAATGYTAGAGAGAAATATATCGAGTGCTTCTATAATTATGAAGGGAGAAAAGACACATAGCTCTTCTAGGTATTTAACAGTCAGATCTCATAGTAATACCTAAATATTTTGATCAAGTTCCCACCCTAGCGTTGTCTAGTAGTATAGTGACAGCTCCTGTCCCAAAGAGATYAGCATATTAACATCATCTGATTTACAGGATGCAACAATTACATTAAGTGTAAAATTTGCCCTTAACGTAGCCAAGATATATGCACTGATTTCCAGTGAAGGAAATTCAATGCTGGTGTTTAATATCACCTTCTCTACTGAACAYATTTGTCAATTGAGGGGATTCAGGGCAATTCCCAAATTTATTTTGCATGACTCATCTTACTTGTTTTTAACAAAATGAAAATGAAGTAGAGTTTATTTAAACAAACTCATTTGGGCTGAGTTCCCTGTTTGCTAGTAATACCAGCCAGAAAAAGCTAGTGTCCCTGGGGTTCCTAAAGTGGTCTTGCATGGCCCAATGTAAGCATCATTAAAATCTAATTGAGAGCAATTATACTGAATTACCTGACATAGAATCTTAACTGAATAAATAGAATGCCTAAAATAAAGGAGTAGCTGAGGACTAATATTACTCTTCAGAAGTATAAGGTCCATGGCAAGGGAAATTTCCCATTAATATGTCACTTGGAGTCACGAAGAAAAGGAACAATACAAAAATTAAAATGACAAGGGAATTAGGGGGAATTCTTGAATCTTTTCGGCAGGCTTTTAAAGAGTGTTTGTCTTARGTCCACTGGGACTGATAAAACTCTCACCATTGTCAATGGGAATAGATATATCCCAAGATAACCACCCTTTAAACTTCTTTTCCAAGTATAAATGTGGGGGAAAAACTACTGAAAATCATAGAATCAATTTTTTTGCTATCAAATCTGCAAGTTTTGCAGAAAACAGCTAGACAGAGGAATGCATGCAATGTTCCCTGCCTGAGTTTTGCTGGTAATGATGCTTAGGCTCTTTGTGTAATGAGCAATGAGGCTCGCCTCAGGTTTCAGGCTTTTCAGAAACCTACACAAAGACTTTTTGCTCTTGTCCTCTCCTACCCATCTTTTTTTTTTTAAGTCCAGGGAAGCAGTGGATCAGTGCTGGGAGAGCCACCATCTGCTCCACAAATTATTTATGGAAGTGTGGGAGTCAAATGGGTTGGAGTAGACAGGAGACTAGATGATGAGCCAGCGAGTTCAGTTCAGCACAGGATACTCCTCACTTCCACAGGACTTCAGGATTTGCTTAAATGCATTGTTGCCTTTAGGCAAAAGTAAAAATACATGGCAGGAAGGGACTGACTGTATCAAAAGGCTGAATTCTTTTCTGCCAGAGGCGCAATGCCCACTAATCCTCTAGGTCACTGCACTGAGGTCTGGGCTCTGCTCTTTTCTTATTCTCATTGGGTGGCTGCTCCTGAAACTCAGTGCTCTGATGGATGGGAACCTGCTTCCCAATTGCTAGCCTAAATGTGTTCATTACTTGTTTATATCTGTTCTCGTGTCTCCATTATTCTTCTCCTTTCCTGCAATTTTATTTGTAAACTCTCCTTTCCCCCACCCCATTACATCAGTAAAGCCTTCTTGCTCCTTTCTGGTTTCAGCTCATCTTTCTTGGACATAAATAAGTATAATTGTGAGTGTATTTCATAGGAGGTAATTCCAGTGCATTTATCAATGGCTTAGAAGTTCCTTTCTCTGCTGGAATTGCCATTTCTCTGTTGCATATTAAGTGTTTAATGTATTTATTCCAGATCTGCATAATGCTGAAAGGAAGCTTGTGCCTTTCAAATCAGGAAGATTGAAATCAGTACTTGCAGCAGAATCCAGACATGAAAATTGGATCTAATGTGCACTACATTTCCACCTTAACTGCTTCTCTCAGAAAGAATTCAATCATTAATGAAGAATTAAAGCATACAGGCAAAGGAGGGGAACTAGATGAATTCTGGTGTTATGTAGAAGTACACTGAAGAACACAGGCTAAAATACCATAATATTTTTGTTAACACCATTAAACATTCTAAGAATTCAATCAACATAGCCATTGTAATTACATAATTAAAACTCAGAGCAGAATAGTGTAATTGCTGTTTTATGATGATCATTACATAATGGGTAGTTATATAACAGTTTCAGCTTAACTGTACTTTTGGGTAAATTAAAAAAGTTGCTGATTTCCACAGTACCATGAATAATTTTAGTCCAGAACACTTTAAAAAAAGAGGAGATATGTTAAGATTTTTGTTTTTGGTTCATTTTCTTCTTCTTGATTGAACAGGAGCTCAATCAAAGCTTAAAAACTCAAAAAGGGTAAAGTGGATTTATTTTAGTGACATAAACAGCCAGTTTTGAGCTGATAAAATAATACAAATGTTCAGTTCAAAGTGATTTTTAATGAAGACAATAAACCCCAGAAAATAACAGCTTATGGGCAATATATAACAACTTAAATCGGCAGCTCAATCATGGAGTCTCTGCCTCCCACACACCGGCTTAYGTGCTATGCATTGCAAGATACAAAGCACAAAGACACAGCCCAAACGAGAAAGAATAAAAGCAAAAAATCTTTCAAATATTGGTTCACTTTGAGAGACTTTCTACCATACCTAGCCTCTGCTAGGAGATGCTCTGCAAGTCAGAGCTGTTGCTTTTCCCAGTTTTCTCCTCCCCCTATGCCAGAACTACCACGTACAGCACTGGACACCACACTAGTACCAGGTCTATGTTGTTCTTAATCTGTGCCAGTTAGTCCCTTTTGTCCTAGATGTTCATCTTGTTTAAGAACGGCCTAAAGGGTTCTGATATAAATGGCAGAAAACAAGTAAAACATACAGAAAGAGAAGATRGCATTTCTTGGCATCACAACAGAAAACACATTTGTCACTTTTCATTAGCCCTCATATGAACAAATTYGCATGAATATCTACATGTTATATAGCAATGAGCATGCAACCGCTGCTGGCTTAGGTAAACCAAAGCTATCTTAAGACAACACAAGCTCACATGACAAAAAGGGCAGGATCTCATTATGGGTTACACCATCTGTGAAAGTGGATGTGTTTAAGAGATGTTATCCCAACAATCTTTTATGAACCCGCAACCCAGGTGGGGTAAAGCCAGCTAATATATATCTGCAAAAGCTTCAGCCAAGACCTTCAAACAATAAGCATATGTACTTCTGGATCACATCTTTTACTGTTAATTGCCAAAAAACTAAATTAAAATTGCCTTAAAAATCTAATCAGTACTTCAGGTTACTCTTACTCACTGAAGTAACTCAGGTTACTTCAGGATGGCAGACTTTGTTTCTAATTTACCAAGAAAAACAAAGTTATAGGCATCCAAAAAAAAAAAAAAAAAAAAACCAAACCCAAAACTATTGGCATGAATGGCTCAAAATGCTTAACATTCCTTGATAATATTGTAATACTTCTATTTCTATGCTTTAGCAAAGATACTACTAACAAAACCCCTAACATCAATTGCAAAGCAATAATCTCTGGATTAGCTAAAGTAAATTCCAGTTTACAGTGTGCAGATAACAAGAAACAGAAGAGTTACCTGTTAAGTACCTTTTTGTCTAGATGATTGCACATCATTCAATCTCCAAATCAACCATGAAAGCCTCCTCTATATGCAGAAATACTGTATTTCTTTTATTTTCCACCTCTCATAGCCTTTTATCATTACTAAAGAGAAGCTTGTTTGCCCCTACAGCAATGGGCTTACTTATAGTACAGCTGTAAACTACAGGTGCCACCATCTTCAAAGCACATGACCTTCCCAATTTAAAAAAAAAAAACAAACTGATTAAGGTTAATGAGCCAATTAATTTTGCACCTGGTAGCATGACTGGCCTAACATTCTGCACTTTTTGTCCTCTGTAAGTATATAACAATGCAACACATTCATAAAAAGAACAAAGGCTAAGAAAAGCTAGTTTCAATTTTTTTWAAAAAAAGCCTTGAATGGAATCAAAACCAATGAAATATTCATATAGTCTTTTTTCACCACTGTCAGAATATTGATTTCTTTTTTTTCAAAAGCATCATTAAGGCTTAGGGTACATGTCTAATATCTGAGGTATTTACTGAATTAAGTTGTGTCATGTTCATGAATCATTCATAGTTGTCACCATTAGGACAGATGGAAAAGGACATCTTCATTTCATTGACACACATGCAATTCACCCTGTCGTCAATCTGTATTTGCTAATAGTAGCAGTTTTAAACCACTAATATCAAAAGGTTTAGGACTAGCTAAATCAATACAACAGTTTTAATTTGAATCACATTGAATAAAYTCTCCATTTTGTGGCCATGCGAAGTCTGAAGTTCTTACTTCATTTGTTCTTTTATTACCCAGTGTTACCATATTTGATGGATATTCATTCAAGAATGAACTTTTGGCCCTTTAGCAAAGAGTAAGGTTAATTTGTGCAAGCCTCTTGTGTTCAATACAATCATTTTTTTTTGCAACTCTGATTCCTAAATGCGCTCAGAAAAGATGTCTTGGGAGTTAATGTATTTTAAATAATAGATTGAAACCTGCAGAATTGTGCAAATGTCATCAGATTGTTTCATGTTCTTCCCTAAGCAGAATTTGCCTGATCTCGTTGCCAGTAAGACATATTAAACCTAGAATCTCATATTCAAATTTGACTTTCATTATCTCATCCATTATAAACAGTTGCCTCTTGGCTACATGTTATGTTAAAATGGTATTGCAAAAGACTCTATATTCATATTTAAAATGAGAAATCCCTCTCAATATAACGAGGCAACTTACACAATTCATCCTAATATTGATAAAAGAATACATTGGCCTTCAGAACAGGCTAGTTCTCCCTGTGCTAGTGCTGCTTACTTATCAAGAGAGATCTGACAAACAAAAATACTCAGCAATAAACAACCACTTCATTAAAAAGTTTATCTCTCAGTTATGCCTTAAGAAGTGAGGTATGGAGTTTCTTTGTATTTTTGTAGAGCAATTCCCCTTTTTCTTAGTTAGATTTACACCATATAAATGCACAACATATGAATTCTTTGCTTCTTTCTGATAGAAAATTGAAAAAAAAAAAAAAAAAAGAGAGAACTATACAACATTCAAAAGCCAGTATGCTTCCTGGAAATTCCTGAAATTCAAGTTAGCCACCAGTTATACCATTCAGATTTTCTATTTAAGTTACATCATAAAGTCTGTGTAATATGAGCATGAGTGCATACATCCTGAGACCAAATTATTCCTGTCCACAGGACCAAGCTGAGTTCCGCAGCTAAAGGCTGAAACTCAAAAGCCATATTCCACCAAGTCTCTGACATTTACGAAAACAGATGAAAAAACAGATACTGCAATTTAATCCAAACACAATGTAATTCAAATTCAATGACTGAAATTGGCTTCTCAACAAAGCAAAGATCTATACTATAAGGATCTACACTCAGCATATTTTCCTGTTCCATTTCTGGACTGCGAGTACTGCCTTAATTTATCCTAATCCTAAAGTGAACTAGCTGGAACCACTCACTGATCTCACTATTTAGAGGCATAAAAATCTACTCCTTCTCTGGATTTGATATTCTGCCTTTTGTTTCTTCCCTGTTCTCAGGAGAAGGAAAAGCAATGACTTTTGCATAGCAGGCAGTGTGAAGATTCCTCAGCAAAGAAATCTTTTTGTATTGCCCTCCTGTGCCCCTTTTCAAATGTGAACACACCCATGTCTGAAGGTCTCTTTCCACATACCTTTTCTAGCATTTAATAGCTTAGTTCTGAAGCAGAGGTACTCTACTTCATTTGGAGCCAAAAAGTACATTAGCAAATTCATCTAAGGGAAGTGTGTTGTTAAATAATAATATGTAGACTAATTAATGTAAATGCAGTGGCGAGAACATGCTGACATTGTTAAAGTTAATGACCCAGCTGTATTACCATTTCCATCGTTGTAATATTGAGAGAACCAAAGAACTTTTGGTTGGATGCCCTCTGCATCCTAGAACTAAATTTTCACTCTGCTTCTTGCAGAGCTAGTTAAGCTCTTTCCTTTCTACTTCAGCAAAATACTTCAGCAAAGATGACTGCACAATTATATCATGAAATTTAGGAAAAATGGTTAAGCTTTGATTTTTAAAAGTGCATAGCTTTGGTCAAAGATTGTTATGGTCTAGATGGAAACACRCTTTCTTATCTTGTTGCAGAACACAGAAGTACCACTTCCCTTATTGTTTCATTCAATCACAACAAAGAGCTCCAATGTGGATGCCCAAATATTTGACTAATATAGGGGAGAAATGGCTCACTTTATTACAAGATAAATTCAAACTGCATTTTCACTTTGTAAAATTCCAGGAATTTCAACAAATTCGGGAATTTCAAGAGGATGTTTTTGTTTCATAGCTCACTTGAGCTAGACTCATTGAAATTCAGAGATATTGACTGGCATCAAAGTGAAGATGGTAATGTATGGCAGATGTTTCTTGAAAGTGAGAGATAACCCTTTTGAAAGCATTTAGGCATCTTCAGTTGCAACTAAGAGATTTTCAAATGCAGGCACTGCAATCAGTAGAAAGTCAGCATCTAAAAATTTTTAAAGCCTGACAGATACCTGATATTCTGAGTCAACTTCCAAAAACCTTTGATAACTGTCATATCAGAACTTATGGCACCTTTGATTTCCAATAAAAGATAGGGCCAGAAGTGTAAAAATCTCTTTTGCAAAAGGACCCTGACACTCAAAAACCCTTCAGAGCAATGAAGTGCAGTGAAGAGACATTGAACCACCAGACATGCTGCAAGYTCCAGTAGTGGAAGCAGATTAGCTGCCTCTGCTTAGCGCTGCACTGGCACGATAAGCTGAGAGGATGATTAGCTTGTGCATAGCATGACAATGACTTCCACTCGTAATTTGGGACATCTGGTATCTCAAAAGAGCAGCATACGCTGCCAGAAGGTCCACCAGCCTAGGCCGGTACTTCCTTTAGCATCTYGGCTCTTGTTCTTCCCTCCTGCATGGCACAAACTTCTCCGTAGAGACTTCTGAAAAGCTTGGACCTATTCTCTTTAGCTAACGTTACAACTCCCTCAGCTGTTCCCTCTTGATCTGTGAAGRGCAAAAACCTTTATCAAAAGACCAATGAGAAAAATAAGTGCTACTCATTTAACCTTAAGCAGAACTTATATCCTTTCTTTATAATTACACTTCAAGTTAAACAAAACTTTAAAAATACAGCAGACCTAGAAATATGAATAAATATCAAGCATAAATTCTACATGGAGCAATGGCACGTTTAGACCTTTTCTGTATATATATGTCAACAAAATATGCTTTTGAAAATCATACATTTGCATCAGCAACACAAAATGCTCTTGAAGAAAATGAATAAACAATGTAATGTTGTAAAGAACAGAACAGTTGTTGGTGAGATTTGGTCCATTTCAGCACAAATATTTCCATTTCAAATTGATGAGCTTCAGAATCAGGGCAGTATTTTACAAAGCTCAGAGAACTGTGCTGAAATGCAGAGGACACAAATCTATCGTGCCATTAGCTCATATTTCCCAAGTCACAGATCACTGGCCTGTTATCTAAGGAACGTTTGGACTCACAAAGGCGCTTATGCACGAAGAGATGTTTTTCATTGTGCATGTGAAGTTCATGAGTTCAGGCCACTGTCTTTTGCAGTCCTTGTGCAATCTGGTATGATTCATTTTTACCATTTTAAGATTTCCTTCCAGCTCCAAGTTCTGCAAAGGGACTGCTACGCTGAAAGAAGAAAAAATGGCAAGCACATCTGGCTCTCTTGCCTAAAGCCCCTTGCTCACAGCATTTGTTTGAAATCACAGCAACATGGACTGCATTGGCTGAGTGACTGAAACACGTCAAAGGTCTCTGAGAGTGACTGGACAGTCACTGTAAAGATGATATTCTGGAGATAGATTTTCTAGATATCTCAGSTGTCATCTAAACTCTAAACTAGATGTAGAAATTCTAGGAAGGGCCCAGTGGTGGGAAAAAGCCGAACACAGGACAAAGCATTGAAATAAACCCCCACATTTTAGAAGAATATAGAATAGAAGAACTATTATTTTTCTGCACTTTTCCCTTCCTTTTTATTTTTGTTTTCATTGATAAAGACTGTCAGTCAAATAGACTTGGGCATTGAGGGACCTTCATAGTCAGCAACCCTTTAGTGTTGATCTACACTAGTGAAAATGGAGAGACCAAGAATATATCCTATACCTTGCAATCTAGCCTTTCAACAGAGTGTATTTGGTTACATAAAAATAGCAATTCTAAAATTTCTAGAGAAAAATAACAATATTTGAAAATGATGTTGCTGTACTTCTTGTCAGCTGGGCAGGAATCCCTGTTATGACTGTGCTTCACATGGTGCATCACACCCAGGAGCTCTTATGAAACACCACAGTGATTCAGTAAGAGGAAGTAACTTTATGTGACCTGGAATATACAGCCAAGGCARTAAAGGAGTTTTGAAATTTGCAGCACTCAGCATGCCTCATCTGCAAATCAGATTTGCATTTATGCATCTTTGCAGCTGAGAGTTCGAAAAGAACATTTGTATTTGCTAGCAACTCAGCTACACCTATGCAGTGCGTGTGAGAAAAAAGAAGTGTTAAATATATCTACCATAAAGAA